ATGGTTTAGTGGTGGGCTTGGCAGTGATAGGTTAACGGTTGGACTCGATGATCTTAAGGGTCTTTTCCAGCCTTAATGATTCTATGATTCTGTGATTCTATGACCTCCCATCACCTTTGTAGTGGAGGTTGCACATGATGCTGAAGTCCTTAGAGATCGCTAAGAAATAACTGAGGTGCTGTTCCAGAGGGGACAAACAGCACCCCAAATCCCCCGTGAGTTCAGCCCCTGCAAAGAGCAACGTCTTGCCTTGATTGTCATCACAGGTCATTCACTTGCCATGTTAAAAAGCAAACACCAGTGAGCACGCACCAAGACCAGCCTTTCACCACCTACGTTTTAGTGCTCCTTGGTTGCATCCCCCTCTCACGCCTCATGGAAACCTTGCTTCTTAATTTCCAAATTAATCTCAATAAACTCTCTTCCCTGGGTTACCACAAGCCTTTGCATTAATTACCAGGTTCTCGCGGGCTCAGGAGCACAGGGAGGTGGGGGGGGGGCTGCCAGGCCCCGCGCCGGCACCCACTGTTCCCCGCTCCGCTGCCTTCACCACCGTGGGGCCCTGCACTGCCTCCACCCCACCGAAGCGCAGGACTGAACTCCAGCCAAGCTTAACGTGGAGCTTAATCCTGTCTTTGGTTGAACTTCTGCCACGTTTTGGGCGTCTCACCCGGGGTTGAAGGAGCAGATGGACACAGAGCGATGTTGCTTTTGGTCTGGCTGAGTCACTGGGAAATGGAGAAGCTATGAGCAGTGCATCATCAGTTACCACAGAACAGTTTGAGGTGGAATGGACCTTTAAAGATCATCCAGTCCAACCCTGAGTTATCCCAAGAGCTGACCCACGGTCCCAGGAGACAGCAGATGGCCTGCCCTTACAAGGCCACATGAGTTTAACGCCTCTCTAGATCACCTAAGCAGACCCCTGCAGCTATGTCCAAGGTTGTCTCCTGTCTTGAGGACACTGAGGACCACTTGCAACATCCCAGCACCAGGTACCGTGGGACAGAAGGGAGCAGTGCTCAGACGGGATGCAGGTCCTGCTCCAGCAATGCTGGCACATGGGTGCTGCCCTAGGAACACGGCTCAGCTGACACCACACCACCGGCAGCCCCGGCACAGAGCAGCCTGGGGGAGCTGCAGGCTGGTCTGAAACAACACCCGGCATCCACCCAGCTTGGGAGGGGTGAGTCGTGGTGAAGCAGCTCCTGCTGATTTGTGCTGATTTGTGCTGATGCATCTGTGAGGAGCGGGTCCATGAGAACCTCATGAAGTTCAAGCAGGCCAAGTGCAAGGTCCTGCACCTGGGTCCGGGCAATCCCCAGGACCAGCACAGACTGGGGCATGGATGGATGGATGGATGGATGGATGGATGGAGGGAGGGAGGGAGGGAGAGATGGAGGGTTGGACAGACGGACACAAGTAGACACATAACATATCCTCTCCTCGCTATTCTCCCTCTTCTCCAATTTTTCTATACAAATATGCATGCCCTGTCATTTATCACTTCCTTCAACCCTGACAGCTGATGAGAAAGTGTTGTTTAGGACTCAAGGTCTTTATTTAGTCTTCTAATCAAATAATTTAAATGTATGAGGTGACACAATAGACGAAGAGCCATAAGTTCCACTGCTTTCTATTATGTGTGATTCTCCTTTGACCCCCGGCGGGGGGGAAGGGCGGAGGGCGTTGGGGCGGCGCAGCCGGGAGAAGAGACGGCTGCGGGGAGACCTCACTGCGGCCGCTCAGTGCTGAAACGGGGCTGAGAGGAGAGAGGGAGACTCTTGAGCAGGGCCTGCAGTGACAGGACACGGGGGCTGAGCGAGGCCGGGCTCAGGCTGGCCATAAGGAAGCAATGTTGGACCGGGAGGGCGGTGAGGCGCTGGCCCAGGTTGCCCAGAGAAGCTGTGGCTGCCCCATCCCTGCAAGTGTTCAAGGCCGGGCTGGACGGGGCTTTGAGCAACCTGATGGAGTGGGAGATGTCCCTGCCCGTGGCAGGGGGTTGGACTGGATCATCTTTGAAGGTCCCTTCCAACCCAAACCACTCTGTGAGTCTATCTACAATTGAGCACCTGATCAGCCCCACCGCACCTCCTGGACTCACCACAATATTATAAAACACTGATTTCTAAACAAGGTGTGGGCTCTCCTTTCACTGCCCAAACAGTTTTTGGCATTATAAACTGAATTTTCTACAACACCAAGGCAAGGGAACACTGTAAAACAAAGCCAGAAGCACTCCCAATGTCCTGGATGCTTCTGGAAGTCACCTCAATGTCACAGGATCTTGTTCACTGCAGATCTCAAGACTTTTCAAAAGATTATTATGCTTTTAGGCCATGAATGCCCTTTGCAGCCCGAGCTGCGGCTCAGCCCCGAGCGGACACGGTGCCGATGCATGCTGCATGAGCCCCGCAGCCAGAAGCAAAGCCATGACAGCTCTTCCCTGAAAACACCCAAACAGAAACCCTGCAAAATCTTACAGTGCAAGCGCAGACCAAAAGAGCCTGGAGGATGATTGTGCAACAGTCTGAGACACGTGAATTCCCTTCAGAAAATCCCTCGCTTCCAGGCTTGGCCAAGTGAATTTTAGCTGAAGGGCAGCTGCCAGGAGAGGGGAGCGTGAGACAAATTTAGGAAGGACCAGGTTCTTCCAAGCAATTAGCAATATCTATTGATTTGACACAGGGCTGGACACAAGAAAATGTGTGTACAGACAACCTCCTGGGACCTCTAGAAACAATTCACAGTTGGATACGAGCAGGCGTGGAATTGCACTGGGCAAATGAAGAGAAGTGGATGGGAGGAGGGTGGATGGCAAGAAAGAGACCTGGTCTCAGCTTTCCAGCCCCCTCATCACACCTTTGCGCCAGGGCCACGGCAGCCTGGAGGGCACAAGCAGCGTTCAGCTCCTCAGCAGTCACCCACTGGCCCATGAAAGCAACACCTTTGCCACCAAGGGCTGCCGACAGCTCGGAGCCATCCTGCATGGCCGCCCCTGCAGCAACCCTCAGCCCTGTGATCACCCGCACCATGAGGGAGGCGGACGAAGGAGAGCCCACACGGGCTCACGGCAAGACTGAAGGACAGGCTTGGGGCAGCAGAGACGTTCAAATGATGTCCCTCAGCGGGTGAGCCTGCCCAGGGTCCAGCCCTGGCCCCCTGGTCCAGCCCCACCGATAAGCAGCTCCGCTCAGCTCTGCTCACACCTCCTCTCCCTTGCACAGCTCAGCACCTCGGTCCCACCTGCTCCCCAACGAGGGGCTTGCAGACACCAAACCTGGAAAGTCTCTGCCCTGAGGAAGCCCCGCTGACCCCACCAGCCCCAGGTGCTCTGCCAGTGCCAGCTCCCCTGGGAGACGCACCGCTCGCACCTGGGGACAGGGGAACTCATCACCCACAGCCCTAATTCTGCCAGATCCTGCGGACTCCCAAACATTGCCACCTCTTGGGTGCTGCTATCCTTAACTTCTGTTCCTGGCAACAAACCTCTTCTCGGGAACACAAGACTGGGGAAGAAAACAACGATACATCGGTAAGGTCCGGGAGGGACAGACTCTTTGGGCAGCCAGCACCAAAATGCCCTTCAGGACAGAGAGGCCAGCGTCACAAGTGCACACTGCAGGCTCAAAGATGGCTGCACCATTTCTGGGCCAAGCAGGCAACGCTCAGCTTGTTCTGCAAGTGCTGCCTCATCCACGTACACTCCCCAGGCAGCCTGGGGCAAGACAACCGCCGGCCAGCATAAAACCAGCCATTTGCTGTTTTCAGCCTCCACATTGCCCCGCTCTTCAGGAATTCCCCTCCAGCAGCCCGGCTGGACCCTCACCATCTCTCAAGGTCAGAAAGCTATCAGCCGTCCCTGCATCTCCTTCCGACACAGGTCCAAGCCCTCCCTCACCCCAGCCATCAGCCACCTCGGCACCTTGTGGCTTTCCAGCCATGGCCACCTGAAGACAAGAGGACTTCAGTCTGACTCCGTCCACCCCACAAGTGGCCCAGCCCAGCGCAGCCAGGTGCCCGCGGGCACGCAAGCAAATCACGGCTCACTCACTCTCGTCGGGGTTGGGCGAAGCAAGAATGGCGCTGTGCTTCCTCTTCACTTCCTCCACGTTCTCCGAAATTTTATCGATGAACCCTCGAATTTCTTCCACCTGTGGAGACGGACAAGAAGACAGGTCTCCTGTGAGAGGCCTGCAGTTCTGGAAGGGGAGGGATTATTAAACCTTATCGCAAAGCAACCAAGACACGTCTGAACCACAGCAAACATCCTTCTGGACAAATATTTTCCAGCTGGATCCTCAAACTGTAGGACCACCGTGAAATCAGACCTTCCACATCACAGCAGCCAGCTCTGCAGTCACAGCAATGTAATACAGACTCAACGTCCTCCATCCTTTGCGATGCACTGAGAAACATTTGGCATTTATTTAAATTAGCATCAGATCTACGGATTCCCAGACCCTGCACCTCCGGCATGGAGAACATAGCTGAGACTGCACAAGCCAGGCTCGGTCCCGGCTCAGTCCCCCATGGCTCTTTGCTCCAGGGGGGGAGAAGCCCAGTTTGACCCTCACCTCACAGACCAGGGAGGCCAAATTTGCCAGCAAATCCATGCTGGCATCTTCCCTGCGCTCCTGTCCTACAAGGAGACACGCTGGCATCACTGAGAGGGGGAACCTCTGCTTCTGCCCTCTGCCTGCCAGGCTGCCCACCCTCTAGCTCTGCCTTCTCCTTCGACTCACACCACCACTTTGCTCATCTTCCTCCATCTGCACGTCAGATTTTCTTCATTCCCCACTCCATTGCCTGCACAGATACATTTTAACACCCCCTACACACATGCCATGCTCAGGGTGTGCTAAAAATCCGCATGCAGATCTTACAGCCACCCACATGCCAGAAGACAACCTCTTGTTTGGTAACGAGAGGCATAAAATTAAATCAATCCCATGCAGAAACTGCTACTCCGCAGAGGTGCTTTCAGGAGAGGTTTGAGGGCCGGTCCGCTTTAGCGGCAGGCTGGAGGCAGGCAGGCTGCAAGGCTCACCCACTCCCCACAACCTGGCCCAGCTGCCCCACTGGTTTCTGGAGGAGGAGGTGGCACAGCAAAGCATCCATAGGGCCAGGTAAGCCCACGACAGCCCCAGCTCTGCGTGGAAGCCTGGTTCCTGCTAATCAGCGCTCTGAGCGTAACCGCTGAGGACCGCGAGCATCAGCTGAGCGGCATCAGCCAGGGCGGGACCCCCATCCCCACCTCGACCGCTGCTCCTGCCTGCGGTGGAAGCCCGTACCACAGCCCCGCAGCCTGCTCCGGCGCTAACAGAAAGGTCTGAACTGGCTTTAAAGCTGCAGCGGAGAAAGAAACCTCTCACCTGCTCAAAGAACTCGTCCATGAAGCGGTCCCGGTCCACACTGACGGTGACTTCATCATCATCGTCACTGTCCTTCGCCTGCAACGACACGGAGAGAGGCATCAACAAGTGCTTCCTGCACGGTTTGCGGCTCCATTTCAGGAGCTCCTCAGGGGCATCTTCCCCCTCTCCTTTGCTCACTTGCTCCCAGGAGCTGGGGCAACGCCAGCCAGAGCGTGGGACACCCCGGGCGCTGCCGCACCAGAGCACTATGGACACCGAGAGAGCAGAGGACGGCCAGCTCCAGCAATAAAGGCATGACACAAAACACCACCGCAGCCAGCTGCCGCACCGCGTGGCCTCCCGTGGCAAGCGCAGAACAAGACTAACCATACCTATGCATTTATAGAGAGCTGGAGGGGGAACTGTACGAGCTATCCTCAGCTGTGCACGAACACAACGGCTCTGCAAACAGCAGTGATGGGGGACACAAGGGATGCCGCAAGGGGAAAACACGAGGGATGCTGCAATGGGAAAACACGAGGGACGCTGTGATGGGAAAATACAAGGGGTGCTGCGGAGCGCGGGAAAGGTGGGAGAGACCAGAAAATACAACAGAACTAGTAAAGCCACAGCAGGCAAATGAGGGGTTGTCCCTGTCTGCAGCTGCGTGTGTGTCGTCATCACCAGAGATGAAAACACCTCCCGTCCCAGCGAGGCAGGGGACGCGAGCTCGCAGGGGAAAGAAAAATTACAGTCCTCTGTACAAGGAGACATTTAAAAGATTATTATCCAAAGCAGATGACAGAGGGAAATGGAAAATTAATGGGGTGGAAAAGTTTCTTCTTACTCTATCTTCACGAGAGAGAAGGAGCCAGTGGAACAGAGAAGATTTAAGAGTGAGGAGTGTCTCTGCTCACCTCATAATTGTCCCACGTTTTGCAGATGGTTACACATCACCCCGTGGCCCCTTCGGGCTTTGCAGAGCTAGGCAACACAGTCTCCAGAGAGATGCCTCTTACCTTGAAATAGGTCAGATGAAATATCTAGCCTTTCCCCTGAAATTGCCTTTTCAACCTAGGGTGACTGATTTGGGTGGAGTGACCCAGAGGAGACCTCCGCTTTCAGCCTTGCCACCGCTCGCAGCACCGTTTGCTTCATGAATGGGTTATCCAAAGGCCTTGAGATCTGAGAGCTACCACGATTCAAGTGAAAATCTCACCCTGACAAGGAAGAGCAGGCACACTGCTGCCTTGACCCACCACTCGGGACACAAAGAAGAAATGTTCCCTGAAGCCAGGAATTCAGGAGTTGTCCATTTTGGCCACAGCTGGGTGCCCAGGCCAGGGCTCAGCAGGCAGGAGCTGCCTGCACAGCGAGGCTGGGGCATGGTGGGAGCCGCCAGCCCGGGAATGGGTCGGTGCAGTCAGATTTTGAGGGAGCTGGGCGAGATCAACCTGAGGATGAGCACCTCCTGCTACCTCCTACCCCTGCTGTACCACTACTTTTCTGTGCTCCTTCCAGCTCTGCTGACTTTGTGCCACCAAGCTTTTCCTCGGGCAGCAGCCCACCACCCAACCCAGCCCCCGCCATGGACAGACCGGCTCACCCCTGCATCTCACGGCACCACGGCGTCCTGCCCGGAGGTTTACCCCACAGCACCGGGGCTGTGCAGGGGGTGAGGGCTGGCACCGCAGCCCAGGCTGGGGGCAGACGGCTCGCGAGGCTCTGCGCGCAGAGCAGCTCTGCCAGGGGACACGTGTCCTGCCGGCAGCCCCGTGCCACCTCACCACGCACCCAACAGGACGGCCATCCACAGGAATGGGCCAAAGGAAAGGTGCTGAGAGCAGCCCTGCAGAGAAGGACTGGGGGACACTGGTGGGTGACAAATGGGACATCAGCCGGCAATGTGCGCTTGCAGCCCAGAAAGCCAAGCGTCTCCCGGGCTGCAGCAGCAGCAGCGTGGCCAGCAGCTCGAGGCAGGGGATGCTCCCCCGCTGCTCCGCTCTCCTGACACCCCCCTGCAGCACCGCCTCCAGCTCTGGGCTCCCCAGCACAACACAGACAGGCCCCTGCTACAGCGGCTCCAGAGGAGGCCACCAAAATGCTCCCAGGCCTGGGACACCTCTGCCGGGGAGAAAGGCTGAGAGCGTTGGGGCTGCGCAGCCGGGAGAAGAGACGGCTGCGGGGAGACCTCACTGCGGCCGCTCAGTGCTGAAACGGGGCTGAGAGGAGAGAGGGAGACTCTTGAGCAGGGCCTGCAGTGACAGGACACGGGGGCTGAGCGAGGCCGGGCTCAGGCTGGCCATAAGGAAGCAATGTTGGACCGGGAGGGCGGTGAGGCGCTGGCCCAGGTTGCCCAGAGAAGCTGTGGCTGCCCCATCCCTGCAAGTGTTCAAGGCCGGGCTGGACGGGGCTTTGAGCAACCTGATGGAGTG